TTCTCCTCCATTCTCCTCTCGGGATCTTGAGCACGCACGCACATGCGCCCGGCGTGAGTTTAAGCCTCCAGGTCCGGGACTCGAACTGTGGTCGACTACGTGGGAGTCCAGCAACATAGGCATTGTGCTAACTGCTGGTCCCCCAAGGTGGTCCTTTTCATCTTGCCCTTACTATATTTTTTTTCTTAGAAATCATACAGCATATGGGACCAGCAGTTGGTGTAATGGCTATGTTGCTGGACTCCCACATGGTTGACCGTGGTATGAGTCATGGACTTGGTGGCTTAAACTCATGCCGGGCGTGTGTGCATCCATGCCCAAGATCCCAAGAGGAGAATGGAGGAGAAGGGATTGTGGCGTGGCCATCTCCCCGGGGGGTGATTTTCTGTCTCTCTCTGTCTATCTGGCGAGTGCACGCGCCCTATAGCAAAAACCTCTCAAAACAAACAAAAAAAAAAATAGAAAGAAAGAAAGAAAGAAAGAAAGAAAGAAAGAAAGAAAGAAAGAAAGAAAGAAAGAAAGAAAGAAAGAAAGGAAGAAAGAAAAAGAAAAGTATACAGCATATGGGCCATCAGGGGGCATGATGGTTAAGGGCACTGGATTCCCCACATGGCCGACCACAGTTTGAATACCAGACCTGGCAGCTTGCTTCTCACTTTCTTTCTCTCTCTCTTGCTCTGTCCCTCTCTGGTCAAATTAAAATAAAAAAAATAAAGTAAATAAAATATTTCTTTTTAAAAAGTGTGTATTTGTGTATATATATATATATTATATATACACATATACACATACAACGTAGTCATGTTTTTTCCTTATTCATCATAGAATGCATGTGCACACACATGAAAATGTGATAGAGGGGAGCATCCTCTATAGGATATGGTCACACTGAGATGCCCTTCCTCCAGTCCTCCAGCCTGAAGGTCTTGGGTACTTGTCTACGTGCCTGCATGTTTCAGGATGGCTCACCCAACTGTGGACTTGAACCAGGGTCACCAGGTGGGATCTGGCTTCCCTGGGAGAGCACAGTGCTGCTGTGTCTCAGAGCCAGCCCAGGAACTATTGTTATATCATTTAACTTTCTTCTTATTAATTTTTTTTGAGAGAGATTTTTACTATAGGGTGCATGCGCTCACCAGATTGAGAGAGAGCGAGAGACAGAATGAGAGAAATCATTCCCCAAAGGGAATGGCCATGCCACAATCCTTTCTCCTCCATTCTCCTCTCAGGACCCAGGCACACATACATGCAAATGTGCCCGGGGGAATTTTAAGCCACTGAGTCCAAGACTCAAACCATGGCGGACCACATGGGAGTTCAGCGCCTTAAGCACTATGCCACTTTCTGGCCCCTTATTATTATTATTTTTAATTTGCTATAGGACACACCACCAGAGAGAGAGAGAGAGGAGAGAGACAGAGAGACAGAGAGAGAGAAGAGAGAGAGAGAGAGAGAGAGGAAAAGTGAGAAAGCAAGCTGCCAGTTCTGGGATTTGAACTGTGCTTGGTCATGTGGGAATCCAGCGCCATCAACCACCATGCCACCTGCTGGCCCCATTATATATATATATTTTAAAGTTTATTAATATGTATTGAATTTGGAATATTATGGAATTTTTATTTTTCTTTTTTTCAAGCTAGAGTGTGTGCACATATGAATACCTGAGAGAGAGAGAGAGAGAGAGGAAAGTACCCTTGACAAGAGCCCATCACTCTGTAATAGCCACCCCCACGCAGCCCCCCAGCGCTTAAGGATCCTGGTCACCTCTACACACGCCAGGCATGTTTTTAGGCCAACCCTTGGATCCGAGCCCATGGCTGGATAGATGGCTTCCAGCCTGTGACACTTCTAAACCACAGCAACTGGGCCGGCAGAATAATGACTTAGCAATGTTTCATCTTACTGGAAAATAATCTGTATAGGGCAGCTCGTGGGCCTTACCTTTTACATCTGCTCCCTGTGTGCCGGCAGAGATAATCTGGCCAGTTTCGGTATTTAAACATGAATTACCAAACGCTGGGTTGCTATCTAAATTGCATGAAAAGAGGCCAGCAGATGATGGAATGGTTACATCTCTGGACTCCCATGTAGTCAACCGCAGTTTGAGTCCTGGACCCGACAGCTTAAAACTCATGCCAGGCACATGTCCAAAATCCTAAGAGGAGAATGGAGGAGAGGGGATTGTGGCATGGCTGTCTCCCCTGGGAGGTGATTTCTCACTTTCTGTTTCTTTCTCTGTTTCTCTGGAGAGTGCATGCACCCTTTAGTAAAATTCTCTCTTTTTTTTTTTTTTTTTTTTTTTTGGGGGGGTTTTTTCTTTTGGGGGGCCAGAAAGACAGAGAGAGACAGAGAGACAGAAAGTGAGAAATCACCCCCCAGGGGGGATAGCCATGCCACAATCCCTTCTCCTCCATTCTCCTCTCGGGATCTTGGGCACGCATGCACAGGCGCCCGGCGTGAGTTTTTGCCACTGGGTCGGGGACTTGAACCACGGTCGACTACATGGGAGTCCAGCGATATAGCCATTACACTAACTGCTGGTCCCAGTAAAAGTCTCTCTTAAATAAATAAATAAATAAATAAATTGCAAGAAGAAATAAGCTAGACTCTAGGAGAGAAGACTTGCCTATTTTAGTGGCAGCTATACATTCACAGTCATAATAAGTATGTCTTTGTTGTTAATTTTTAAAATATTTTTGTCCTAGTGCATTTGTAATTGCCAGAGAAACACAGAGAGACAGTGAGAGAAAGGAAGAGTGAGAAATCACCCTCTGGGGAGATGGCCACACTGCAGTCCCTTCTCCTTTAGGGGTTTGGGCACACATGAACTTGTGCCCAGCATGATTTTCAAGCTGCCAGGTCTGGGACTCGAACTGCAGAGTCAGTCATGTGAGATCCATTGCCTTAACCTCCATACCACTTGCTGGCCCTCTTTTTAGATTTTTAAAACATTTATTCATTCATTTTTTAAAAAGAATTATTTTATTTAACTTTATTTATTTAATTTGACCAGAGAGGGGGAGAGAGAGAGAGAGAAAGAGAAAGTGAGAAAGTAAGCCGCCAGGCCCAGGACTTGAACTGCGGTCCACCATGTGGGAATCCAGCGCCCTTAACCACCAAGCCACCTGCCAGCCCCCATTCGTTTGTTTTAAGAGAGCAAAAGAAAGTAAGAGAGAATGCCCCAGCAGGATTTTAACGCTGAGCAAAAGAAAGTAAGAAGAGAGAATGCCCCAGCAGGATTTTAACGCTGTTTGACCCCCAGATTTCAGCCAACCCCAGATCACGGGCACATGTATGTACCTAATTAATCAGGAAGGTCTCTAACCTTGAGCCAGCAATGTCCCCATGCTCTCAGTCTTTCTTTTGTCAAATTAGTCCTGTTTTACCTGAAAGACTTACCTTAAAATAATAATTGTATGGAGCCAGCAGGTGGTGTAGTGATTAAGTCACTGGATTCCCACATGGCCAACCATGGTTCAAGTCCTGGACCCGATGGCTTGAAAATCATTCCAGGGGTGTGTGTGCCCAAAGTCCCAAGACGAGACTGGAGGAGAAGGGATTGTAGCATGGCCATCCCACCCCCAGGAAGTGATTTCTCACATTCTCGCTCTCTGTCTTTCTCTGGCAAGCACATGTACCCTATGGCAAAAACCTTTAAGAAATGCTACTTGTATGAGGGCTAAGTTTGAATTCCTTCTTGTGATATTCAGGTTCCTCCCATATCTCCTGCAATGTCCCCATCATAAATCTAAGTTTTTCATTTCAGCACGAGATTGCCTTGTAGAGCACTGTGTTTTGCTGTGGCACCATGGTCTAGTACCATGTCTTTTAAAAAACTTCCTAGAGGGGAGGACCAGCAGTTGGTGTAAGGGCTACGTCACTGCACTCCCATGTAGTTGAACTCTGGTCAGTTCGAGTCCTGGACCCGGTGGCTTAAACTCATGCCGAGGTTCTGTCTCTCTCTTTCTGGTGAGTGCATGCGCCCTATAGCAAAAGACCTCTCCCCCCCAAAAAGAAAAACAAACCGACAAAAAAAAAAAAAAAAAAAAAACCAACTTTCTAAAGGGCAATTTCATGTTTGTCTTGCTGGAGAGAGACAGAGAGAGAGAGAAAGTAAGAAAGCACCTCCCGGGGAGGATGGTGGCTCCTCTCAGGTGTTTCCTTTCAGAAACACACATGCCCAGAATGTTTCATCAAGACACTGGGTCCCAGACTCGAACCACACAGTTATCTATGACTTATCAGCCTTAACCTCCATGCCACCTGGCTGGTCCTCCATTATTTTCTTTTTTTACAGCTTCGTGGCCATGACACAATGGAAGGCAGGTTGTCAGGTTGAGGCTGAATGAATAGTAGCTGAAAATGAACTTTTGGGAGAACTCGTGACCTCGTCAAGTGGACACTGAAGGACTGTCATGTTTTTGGAGATAGACTTCTTGTTTGTTGGTTTAAATCCCCCCCTCCCCCCATTACATAGGAGGTGGGATTTGAATCCTAGAAGGTCTTCCAACTCCTAAAATCCATGCTTTTCCCAAACAAACAGGCACTTCGCCATCTCTCTGCTCTTTACCACAGTGCACTGCCCACTTGCTCCATCTCCCCACTTCCCTCTTGGACTGCTCTGTTATCCCAACTGCCACCCTACCACTAAATCTTAATCCGCAACATCTCTTGGCTGTCCCCTTTCATTTACTGCTTCCATGCACCCTCTCAATTTCTCCCCAGCTCTGCTGTTTCTCAAACTCACACCTTCCTTCCTTTCTTCTCCTTTGCTCCCCTATTTCATTTTCCGTCCTCATCCCCACGACGGTCCGGTCTCCCCCTCCTTCCCGCTCTCGGTCTGTCTTACCCTAGTTTGGAAATGCAGCAGACCTCTGAGTCCACCACCATTGGCTGCACGCGGCTGTCACTCTGCGGTAAGAGGCGCTCCTATTGGTGAGGCCGGAGGCGGCTGACTATAAAAGGTAGGGCCGGAGGAGGCGCGCGGAGCGTCTGTGACAGGACGGGGTCGGCCGGGACTGCTGGCGGGAGCAGAGCGCCCAGAAGCCGCGGAGCGGGCACCTGAGCAGCGGCTCTCCGCACTCGCTGTCCTCTCCTGCTTAGCCAGGACCCCTGCCCCAGAGCCCGGCGACTCTCGGCGGTCGTCCGCTCAGCCTCGAGGGCCCCTCGCCTCACCTGCGCGTGCCGCGCCCTGCGCGCCCTGTCCGGCAGTCGCAATGAGCGAGGTGAGCGGCGAGGGCTCCGGCGGGGAGGAGGCTGCGGCTCCGGGAAGGAGAGCTCGGCAGCCCGGAGCCGCAGAGAGCCCTCTGGGGTCGCCCCGTAGCCCCTCAGGGGAAAGTCCCACCTCCGGGCACTGGGAAGCGATTGTGTCCCCCAACTGCGGATGGCGCTTTGGGGGTTGGCTGAAATAGGCTGGGGTGGGGGGCTTGAACCCCCAAATGATCATCATCTCTGGGGGATACCGACCTCTGCATCTGCCTTTCGCCTCCCAGGTTGTTTTGGCTTCCCTGACCCCCTTGCCTCCCTCTGTCCTCCCTCTCCCAGGGCTGCGTTCCTCCTCCCTCCTTAAGTAGCGTCCAACAAGAACTCCATCCCTGGCCCCTGGGCTGT